CTCCAAATATGGAACTTTTGCTTGCACTTGTTGTGAGGGATTTCCTTACTTTGACTTCGGTCTAGAGAAATGTAACAAAAGTTGAGTTGTGAACTCCCCAAACAATCTTTGCTGGCGGTATTAAAAGAAAGCTGCAAAGAAGATGATTGGTGAACTATTTTGCATTCTGTCATATGTGAGGGGTTTAGCTCAGTGGTAGAGCGCTCGCTTTGCATGCGAGAGGCCATGTAGTCCGCAGGCCAGGGTGCAAAATTCGTATTTTTCGCTCCGAGCAGAAGGGTACCAAGGTTTGACTATACGAAATGATAGAGTGGTGCTAGGGCTTTCTTATCATGTATCTCTTGTCCCGGGATTCTTGTCCTAAGTTGACCAAATCAAAGGAATACTATTATTTTGATGTTGCCATGGTAACGGAAGTCGAAATTCAAATTTTACCACCTTTCCTATGCTGTAAGCAGTTCCAGTTTTTTGCATTGCCAAAGAAAGACCAAGAACCACCGGTATCCAAGGTTTGATGATAATCGTGCAACTAGAACCCATGCTGGGGTCGCCCGCAGTACGACAATTGTGTGCATACAAAAGGTCAATACCATTGCACTGTAAGTACAGTAGTTGGGTAGAAGGGGGGTGCTCAGCCCCTCGATTAGGGATGCAGAATGGGGTGGAAGGGGAGGCTCCCCCCTCGTGATATACCTGGACATTTTACAGTCTTTATCACTTCTTGTGGGCCTTGTTTCACAATACAATTCAGAATGCCCTTTGGTATACAATAGCATTACAATCACTGATAAGATTATGTCCAATACATGGATAGTCTTTCGAAATGAGCTGTAGCCAAATCACATTGGGGATCGTATGTACATCAGAAGCAAAGAACAGAGTACTCATCACAAGTATTATAATGTACATGAAATACACATGTAGGTGGGCTTCTCCATGTGACTGGGCCATCATCTGAAACAAACTTCGGCTGTTATCAAATCAAAATGAAGGCGTAGAAAATATAAAAAAGACAAAAAGAAGAGTATGCCATCACATGGGCATTGGACAATGTACAATGTGGGAGGGCTATCCGCCAATCGCTGCCAACTCAGTAATGGACTTGAGCGGGGAACTGAAGATGCACAGTATATGCTGCTATGCACAGTAGATTCTGCTAAGCGGCCAACAAAATATGGACGCCGAGAGATGCACATAAATCTGACGTAACAAAGATGTTGGCTTTGCATTATTACCAACCACATACTCATACTACATTGTTATACACTATACACTATACACTACGTTGTTTCAGAAGCCAGCAAAAACACTCAGCACATACACGTGTATGCAACAAGTAGAGGTGCCTGACTTTTAACCGCATCGGTCCACTAGTTTTGAGCACATACTGGGTAAACCGACGTGATCCGCACTTGCCATTCATTCAATTACCTGCATTGACAGACCATAGAATCATAGAACTCACTGACTCACAGTACGACCTTACTATGTAGTCACCCATGAATCAGAATAGGGAAGCATGTCACAACGTGAACACAGTTCTGTATACCCAATGTTTAGAGTTGAACAGTTACATGTAACATAAAACGAAAGTGCATTATCCGTGTGTCCATAAATGGGTGACTCACTGCTGCTCAGTGTCAGACGGAAGATCTCCCTCATCGATGGCCTGTACTTCGTCATGTCCAGGAGCAGATTCCACCGGGCAGTTCTTGCATGGAACTGAAGCATGATGGTGACAGCTACAAGCATCTGTACACAAGAGCATGTGACGCCTGCAGGAGCAATTGCCTCCTCCACAGCCAGTCTTACAGCCACAGCTGAGAAACTCGAGGACAGAGTGGGGAGCGGGTGGTATACTAAGCCAGTCCACAGCTAGATCACCGTTCTGGTCAAGACACCAACCTGTAATGGGGAGAACAAACAGATGGAGGAATGCAAATTATTTACTCCATATATCAGAAAAGCTTCTTACACTACAACAGTCAATTACTTCATGCATGATTGTGTTGATAACACAGCTGATTCACTCTATTGTATAAGTAGCAACATCAACGAACATGTCTTGTTCAGAGAATATCCATCATTTTCATACTGCAGTCCTCCTCTACAACTGCATTATATGCTACAGTCAGCTCACTCACCTTGGCCATTATCTTGTGGTGCTGGTATCGCAGGCTGGGCCACAATGCACTGGCGCCAAATGGCAGCTTGGTAGTTAGCTCTCGCGGCATGCTTCAGGAAGGCATCTTTGCATGGTGGAAGCTGGTTTGACTGCAAGGTCTTTGTGCAGAACAGCTCATACCTTGCATCGTTGACGCTGCTACAACCAGAGACTTTGTAATAGGAGCACACAAATGTCTCAAGGTTGAGGAGCACATCAGCTGTCAGTGGTTCGAAGCCTTTCCCCAGGGAGGTGAATGCTTGCCGAGATGTAGACCCAACAGGACCGGTGCTTTGCAGAATCTTCAATGCAGCCTTCTTCCCGCGGTATGCAAAAGCACTTGTGCTATCACACCCAGTGAAGGCGTGGAAGCCTGGCAGTGCTTGGCAGAGTTCTGGGCCAAGCTCGTCGCTGACAGTTGCCATGTCGATGCATCGAACCTTGTTCCCAGTCCCAGTGAGGAAGTACAATCTTCCAGAGATGCAATGGCGGGCGAAGGCAGCCAGAACTGCTACATCAGTGTCCGGGGACTTGACCGTGACGGTGGGATAGCCTGCGGAACCAGCATGAGATGCATGCAACAAGAGACGGGTATCCGCTTCCTCGTGGCTGCACTCCAAGTCAGGTACAGGGACGACACTTGTAGCACCTGCCTGACGTTTGATCATCACACAAGAGCTACCGCTGGTAACGACAAGTTCCCTCTGCTCAGGCACCTTCTCAACCATGGCAGGACGCTGCCACTGTACGGCGAGGAATGCAATCAATTCCTCTTTGTTGTCACCCACTGCCAGGAACTTGGCAAACTGCCTGGGAAGCCGTTGATCAGC